GTCCAAGTAAATCCATGAACAAACGGATAAGCCAAACCTGATCAACCCAGGCACACAAAACACATAAAAGCATAAAAGCTGAAACCAAGGCTGAGAGATGAAAGGATCAACTGAAACCAAGGCCAAGCATAAAAGCTGAAACCAAGGCCAAACATAAAACAGATAAGACAAACTTGATAACCCAGTACAGTTTGCACACAAAAGCTGAAACTAAGGCCAAGAGCAGGCTGAAACCATGCACAGAATTGAAACAAAGGCCAAGCATGAATCAAGCTAGTGAACCATGCACACAAAGGGCATAATCTAATATGACATACACCCATTTGCAACCAATTGTCTTCCGTCTTTTTGGAAGCTCGACAAGCTCCCATGTGTCGTTCCTATGAAGAGACTCCATCTCCTCTTGCATAGCCACCTGCCACATTTCAGCCTCCGAACTCTGCTCGTCCTCTCTGAATGTAGTAGGAACCATCTCATCGACACTCTTCACCATAAGTGCATACGCAACAACTGTGTCTGTATACCTAGCTGGCATCCGTATTTCTCTCCTTTGTCTCTAAACTGTAATAGAATCCTGAACCTGGGCTGTCGGTCCCTGATCCTGCTCAACTATACCTGTATCCTTCAAATCATTACCGTGCTCGCGTGGCATCACCTCAGTAGGCACTCTAATAGATACGGTCCTATTTGGACAATGTGGAGCTGTATTAATCTCCACCACATGTGATGTCTTCATTGTTGGGTCGCTCTTCACCTGATGAGGGCTGGGAAGCTTCAAGATAGAAGCCTCATTAAATGTGATGTCTCTAATCAGCACAATCTTCTTATCAACTGGATCCCAAAGCTTGTATCCCTTGACAACACGCTTGAATCTCACAAATATGGCCTTCCTAGCTCAAGGTTCTAATTTATCAGTCTTCACATGATAAAATGCAGGACACTCAAATACCTTGAGCTGATCATAATCGTGTGCTGGCTCTCCCGACCATATCTCTATAGGGGTTTTACCCTCAGTCGCAGATGAATGCAGCCTATTTATGAGGTGGCTCGCATAAGAAAGTGCCTCAGCCTAAAAGATCTTCACCAACCCACTCTGCAACAATAAACATTAGACCTTCTCCATCAAAGACCGATTCAACCTTTTTGCTACCTTATTCTGCTGTGGTGTGTGACTAACTGTGAAATGCCTCTCTATGCCCTCGTCTCGACATAACTGCTGAAAAGGGTCAGAAGTATACTCATCGCCATTGTTGGATCGCAACGTCTTGATCTTTCTCCCAATCTGTAGTTCTAACCTCTTTTTCCACTTCACAAATATATCTAGGACTTTACTCTTCTTCGTCATGGTGTACAACTAACAACGCCTAGAATAATCAACTATAAATATGACGAACCAATGTCGACCACCAAGTGATGCTATTTTGGTAGGACCCTAAACATCTGTGTGCACGTAGTCCAATATGCCCCTCGTCTTATAGATGGTTGTCCCAAACTTCACCTTCGTCTTCTTGTTAAGAACACAATGCTCACAAAACTTAATTTTCTCACTCTTGGCTCCCTTCAATAGTCCCTGCTTGCGCAAAGCTTGTAGTGATTTTTCACATGTGTACCCCAACCTATAGTACCAAAGCCTGCTCGTGTCCACCTCTGAAATAGCTAAAGCTACCTGGCCAATCTCGGTGCTTCCCTTCAGATAATATAAATTTCTACTGCGAACTCCCTTCATCACCATCAAAGATTCCTTAGTAACATTCGCTACAACGTTCTCAAAAGTCACCTTAAATCCCTTTGCCTCCAAAGCTCCATCTGAAATAAGATTCTTCTTCAACTGAGGAACAAATATCACTTCATTCAATTCATGAACTACTCCATCATGCATCCGAATCCTGACGGTACCTATCCCACAAATACTATAGGATTGATCGTTTCTCATAACTACCACGCCCCCATCGAGTTTCTCAAATGATGCAAACCAATCTCGTCGGAAAGTCACATGATAAGTAGCACCAGAATTAAACATCCAATTAGATGCATCCACATGGTTCACCTCTGGAGTAATCAATAGAGAAAAATACGAATCATCGGAATCATCACCTCTCGTGACGTTCACCTCATTGGCCTTCGGGTCATTTTTCTTGCTATTCTCCTTCTCATTGGGCTTCAGGCAATCTCTCTTCTAACGTTCTTATTCCTTGTAGAACGCACACTGGTACTTTACTAACTGGTGGTGACCCCTTGACTTTGACATGTTCCTATTATCACCTTTCGAATATGAACTTCTACCTCTCGTCGACAATGCCTCTCCTGAAGTGCTAGCATGGGAAGTCTCTTTGTCCTTCCTCCTCAAATCGTAGTTCGTTAATGCATTAGTCACTTCACTGTAGGTGATGGAACATCTCCCGTTCAACAAAGTGAGCACGAAAGTATCATACTCCTCATCGGGTAAGGAGCCTAACAATATAATCGCCTTGTACTCATCCGTTATCTTCTCATCCACGTTCGCCAAGTCTAACAACAACTTTATATAGTTGTTCACATGAACCGTAAGCGAGGTGCCCCTGGACATCTGGAATCTGAACAATCTCCGTAACAAGTACAATCGATTCTCAACACTCTTCGTAAGGTACTTGTTGTTAAGAATCTCCCACATCTTCATCGCAGACGTTACCCCAATCACATCATATTTCAGCTCTTGTTCCAAATAAGATCTAATCACCCCATAAGCGTTCCTATTAATCTTCTCCCATATCGCCTCATCGTATTTTGATGGCCTCTTATGGACCATGATGGTCTCTTCCAAATTTTAAGCATTGAGTGCGTCTTGTACGTCGCTCAACCACAAACCAAAATTAATTTTGCCGTCATACTTCACCACACTAATCTTAGTGTTTTGAAATCTAACCTAAACTGTACTCGCCATAGTCTTGCTGCTTTTACCAACTTCTTCTCCCATTGCAAACCACTCTAAATTGTAAAGAAAGATTCAAACTTTGATAGAAATTGAGAAATTACCCAACTGAACCCTAGATAGGATTCCAACACGATCTCCTAACTACACGAGGAAAATGAGATCTCCAACGGTAACTCCATAACGCTATCTCCACCGAAGCCTAGAACTCCAAGAACCAAGCTTTCACAATGGCTTCCTCCACCCAATACCAAAACCCTAAATCTCAAATCTGGAGTTCTGATACCAATTGTTGCGCGTCTTGCGGAAGCATGTTCGACAACCAAACGAGTCGGCGTGCGATGAGAGAAGAGAACCAAAACAAATACGAGTGCAATCCACCAAATACGACACAAACCAAACCAAACACAGAGATTTACGTGGTTCGGCAATTGCCTCCACGAGGAGAGGATGAGGATATTTCATTATATGAAGGAGAAATACAACGGGTTACAACTCACAAAGCCACTCAAATATAATTCTAACCAAAGCTCTTAACTCCCTCACAATATCTCTCTCTCAAAGTGCTCAAAAGTCTTTCCTTTCTCTGATTAAGAAACCCTAAAAAACGTGTTTGTATTTATATCAAACACCTAATCCAAAACCGACCAAGAAAACCAAATCTGGCCTATAACCGCTTCGCGCTCGACCGACCAGAAAGACAAATTTCAACCATGTAATGTGCACGTTTTCGGTCGACTGGTCGAACACGTTCGATTGACCGACCACATTTTCTGTTGTCTGGTAGAACTCGTTCGGTCGACCGACTAGAACATGGTTTCAGACCCTGTAAACCAACAGTCTGTCAGTCGACCGGGCCTATGCCGTCGGTCGACCGACCCGTAGTCAATCATGTGCACTACAAATTTCCCGTTCTTCTTCGCCGTTTCTTCACTTTTTTATGATCTGAAGGACTCATGCATGTTCCTTGACATTTCAAGTTCACTTGATCGCAAGTCTAACCTTCATGTTCAATATTATAAGCGTTGACAAACTATTGTTTACATATTGTACTGTCGCTTACGCTTGGAACAAATGTCTGGTTCTGGCCCCCAGCATCCTACATAAGATAAGATGTATCATCTTTGACTTGTAACTCTCTAGAGACCAAATATTATCGAGAAACAATAGTATTTGTTGTCTAGATAGAGAGTATAAAGCTTACCAGAACGTAACACACTCTGCAGGACGTTCTTATCCAAGCAAGAGGCTTATGGACGAAGTGTTTTAGTAATTGACATGGAACATGTGTGTTGCAGATTTTACCACAAGGTATTCTGTTTTGATAGATATACTGCTCCTATATATGATATATTCATTCATATAATTTGCATTTGGAACGTGATTGCATTCTGCGATAAGGTTGACACACAATCAAATGATGTACATAGAGCGTAAGGGTGATCTTCTAAATTTTTCTAGCAAGAACTTTCTCTCGGTTTAAACCTATTGAAATTGATAATTATTAGACCAATATTAGCATTGCAGTCCAGCTGATAACTCAAGAAAAAGAAGTAAACATTATAATTATTTCGCATACTCTCGATCTTTGAAGTGTTAATTAATTGTGTGATTCAAACAATTCATATCCATCCTAAAAATTTGATGCGCGTGCTCACTAGGATTGAGATCTTCTCCAATTAGACGACAAGGAGAGAATCTAATTATCTAATCACCATCATTTATTCCAATTTCAGGGGATAAGAAAAGATCACCGATGATGTGCGAGTGATTAAACAAAGAGTGAGTTGTAATGCTAGTAGGATAATAGAGCATACTAAGAAATAGTTCATGTCAATTAAAGACTTAAATAAATAAATAAAATTTTCTAGTTGGAGTTCATCTATGCCATTAGAATTATCTTACTTGCATCATCAAAATTGATCTTAGATCTTGTATCATGAAAACTTGGATATGAACTTAACTAGGTTACCTATATTCATAATTTAGTGAAAATTAAAAATAATATAACCATAATGACATCTGTACATGCTATCAAATAAATATATTTAATATATAATTTATACCTTATTATAGTATACAAATACTCAGCCTGTGTATGCTAGATCGCAGGAACGGGCGGAGAAAGGAAACAAGAAAAAAAACAAAGGAATATATCCACATACAGAGTGTGATGCAAGAAGTAAAGCAAGATCTTCACTATTATATAAACAAGCAAATCTCTTGTCAGTGATGAGCTCTAGATTTCCTGTGTCGATTTAAATCTGAGGTTGATTCTCGAAGGAATACCTGAATAAAGAGAGGCAGAGGTAAATTGAAAATTTTCATGTCCTTTTCTCTGAAAAATCCTGTCTTTCTTTCGTTTCAATCTTGCCCATCAAAACATTCTTGGGTTCTCTTTTTTGCTTTTGGGTAGTGATTTTCTTCTTCTTCTTCTTCATTTGGATCATGACCCTTGATGGGTTTCCGTTATTTTTGGGTTTTTACTGTCTTTTTCCTTCAGAAAAACTCTAATTTTCTTCAGCAAGTGCCCAGAGTCATCACATGGGTTCTATTTTCTCCATCTTTTTTTTATGTATATTTCCCATTTCTGAGCCTCTACCTTGTTAATTATTGTGAGGCTTGATCTGGGTTTTTACCAAATTGATCGGATTCCATCTGGAGCTGTTGATTTTGGTCTCCTTGTACTCTCTTCTTATAATATAAGATGGGATGCTCTCTGTCTTCAGTTTTCACTGCTAAACCCCCCTCACCCCAAGATGCTGTCTTTGGTTTTTGCAGGTGATTGGGAATAGAGAGATTTGAAGAATGTGGATTCTCTATTCTTGAGAGACTTTGGAACTAACCTCAGCACTTAACACCAGATCTCAATATCAAAATCTTTTCTTTTCTTTTCTTTTTTTTACTGTAGAGAGAGTGAAGCAGTTAAAGAGAGAGAAAGTATTAAGAAACAATTGAGTGGCGGTGGGTGTCCGTTTAGTGCTTGTTGGGTGTCTCTGCTCCTGTTAATTATTAATTCTTAATTATCCCTGGTCTTACTAATTAGTTGTTAATTAATAATTACTCATTTCTTAGTCCTTTCTGCTGAGGGCCGGGGGAACAACGCACCGCCTATTTTGCTCTCTTGCTTTGCCCACTCCATTCAATCCATTGCCATTATCATCTAAATCCCAATTACTATCATTATTCTTCTTCTTCTACAAGAGAAAGTTTACCTCTTTTTTCGTTTTTCACCTATTCTTCTCGTGAATTTTCGTTGTTCGCCTGGTTCTTGGTTTTTATTGTTAAGGTGGGGTTTTGTGTTTTGTGATCAAAACTTTGCTCCAATAATGAAGTATATGAAGCTTGGATCAAAGCCCGATTCGTTTCAGACTATAGGGAACAATATCAGGTAAAAACTCCTTATATCTTATCCATTTATTTCTCTGAAATGACAAAACAGCTTGATTTTGGTACTTGTTTTAGATTATTAACTCTGAATGCAATTATGCAACCCCTGTGTTTGTAAATGTTGGGCAATTTTCATTTGATTCATGCTTCTCATTGTCAAATGGTTTGCAATTGTGTATAGTAGTTATAAGGTGTCATTTGGCCCCAGCCAATTTCATACACTAAATCCGGTTATTAGTTTTAAGCCAAACAGTCCAGGATCTGCCTTCTTGATGATCTCAGTATGAGAGTCTAGTGATGGGCAACATGTGACATGTGCCATGTTAAACAAAAGATGTAACTTGTTACTGTTTTTCTTTAGAAAACTATTCTCGATTTTCCTAGTAAATTTAATTTTGTTCCTTGTTTTGAATTATGGTATAATGACTGAACAATGTAGCTCATAACTTTATAAATTGGATTAGCTTTTAAGAAATCACTGGGTTGCTGACTATCAAAAAAGTAGAGAGTTTGAATTTTTGTTTTGTTAATGAGAAATTATATTTTGAAAGTGCATGGATTTGCACATGAACAATCTCTATATCGAATTTATGCACTTTTGGTGCAATCTTACCTTTTCTTTCTAGATCTAGTCAATGCTGCACTATTCAATATGCTCTTAGGCTCTCTGAACCATTAGAAGTTCTCTACATATAATGAAAAATTAAGGATGTTCCACCTAATAAGATCTTTGTATTTACCTTGAAATATGAGTATTTAACTGTCTTAAATGTGACATTTTGGGGGAAAGTATCCACTTTCTAATTACAAGGCAATTTTGATAGAGTTTGGTCATATTGCGGATTAGGTAAGGTCCTAAGGATTCATTTAAATTCACAAGATGTTGATTTATGTGGGATAAAAATAACTGCAGAAAATATTTACTTGTGAATTGCAAGTTGAAAGTTGGAAGGGGTTGGGCATATAGGTTAACTAGTTCAAAGAAAATTTATGAGATGTTCTATGAAATTTATGGAATAGATAAAGCTTTGTATACAAAGCTTTCTCTACATAGCGAAAAAAACTAACCATAGTTTGATGTACTAGTACTACAAATAACTTGAGCAAGTATATCTGTAAACAATGCTTAAGCCTTTTTGGGTTAAATGGGATCAAAGCTGAAGGGTGCGACACCTCTAGAAGGCTCCACAAAGCTTCACCAAATCTTCAGCCAACTATATATCAAACTATGTCAACATTCAGCTTGGCTCCAAATTTTTTATCAAGGAAACTGTGGACTATTGAATGGTTTTCCTCAAAATAGATTAGTATTGTTACGGGGCTGGAAAACTTTAATTTATCTAGGGTAAGGAGCAAATCCTCAAAATATATCTATGCTGAGGACACTTATTTTCCTTATACCATAAATATACCACAAGCCTGAAGGTATGAATTTAGTAACTCTATGGACTTGGTAATAAGCAAGCACCACAAAATGAATTAAACATATAGTGGTTTTCTCTAATAATTCGTTTGATGAATGACGTGGTAGTTTTAGGGATCGAGAATAGCAGAAATGTTTTTTGATGAAAATAATAATATGGAGCAGGATTGCCAGTGCTCATAGAGAGGAAACGAGGGAGATTCCGTTATTTTATTTTCTAAAATAGAGCTTTACCTCTTGTCAAGTCCAAAACTCAATGAAAGCATGTTTGGTTAATAAAACCCTTGTACCCCTTTGTGTCCCTCATATAGCAACTACCCACTATTTGCAAATCCTACCTTGTAATCCTTACTTTGTATCGAGATCATGTACCCACTCATTTAATAAGAGCCATAAAATATATTATTATGGATAGAACATTAGATGGTCAAGGGAGATGATGCAATTGGGACAAAACATTACCCAAGAGATTGGTAAATTGAACCAATATTCATTTATTTGGTGCTTAATGATGACAGATTCAGAATCCATCAAAAGAAGTTGGTTGTGTTTCAGATTCCATATCTGTTATAACGTGCAAGTGTGACTGCTGTGTATAGAAAAGCTATTGCCCTGAAGCTTATAGATGTATGTACGTCAAAGCATTGGAAATCATTACATGGGTGATTAAAAATTAAAATACATTCACACTGGAATTCTCTTTTCCATACGGCATTATGCCTATCAATTAATTTACTGCATATGCTATTTTTTGAATTGCTGTGAACATTTGTTTCTGCAGATTCGTAGAAACTGAATTGGCGACTGATATCATCGTAAATGTTGGAGATGTGAAGTTTTATCTGCACAAGGTATCGAGATCTCTTATTCTCTTGCATGTATTAGATTTTTGTTGATGAAGTATATACGTACTTATTTAATACTCTTCTTTTGTTCCATGAAATATCATGGATTGAAGTTCCGTGAAACTCTTTTATTCTCTTCATGTCTCATTTTCCATATTTCCCAGATTCTTATTTTGTTCTCTCATGTGCCTCCACCCTTGTGATTCTTCTATTATTTATCTTTGTTCTGAGAAACTTTAGTTTATTTGGAAAGAAATTTGTGTTTACGAAGTTATTTAATCCCTTACGTGATTAGGATTTGTATTAGTTGTCTATTAAATAAAGGTAGAGAGGACAGGTAAATCATCTCTCTAATCTCTCTGAACCTCCCAATTAACATGGTACCAGAGCCACCCCTCAAAAACCCTAACCCTTATCCCCTCTCTTATCCTGTTCCCTAACAATCTTTTAAGAACATATGGGAAGCTGCTGTTAGTCAAATACTCAATAAGGCTCCACCGAATGATTTATTAAACTTTCTTGTGTCACTTGTCTAAATCATGTAACTATTGTTTTGCTATTCATATATGATGAGATAATCATCATATTCAACTTGTTTAGGGTGTAAGACTTCACTATAATTTCATTCATTTTGTTTCATCCTTCTTTCCAGATCATTTAAATATTATTTCACCCTCTATATTCTGCAGTTTCCTCTTTTGTCTAAGAGTTCTCACTTGAAGAAGCTGGTGGCAGCTATTAGCGAGGAAAGCAACGATGAGATCGACATTTCTGACATCCCCGGTGGTCCTTCTGCCTTTGAAATATGCGCCAAGTTTTGCTATGGCATGATAGTCACCCTCAATGCCTACAATGTGGTCGCTGCTCGATGTGCAGCAGAGTATCTCGAGATGCATGAATCCATAGACAAAGGAAATCTCATCTACAAGATCGAAGTTTTCCTCAGCTCTAGTATTTTCCGAAGCTGGAAGGATTCAATAATTGCACTTCAAACTACAAAGCCTCTTCTACCTTGGTCTGAAGACTTGAAGGTGGTCAGCCATTGTATAGACTCAATAGCTTCCAAGGCTTCCATCGATCCTTCTGAGGTTCAATGGTCTTATACCTATAATAGAAAGAAACTTTCTGTAGAGAATGGTATTGATTCAGAATGGAATGGCGTGAGAAAACAACAGGTAGTACCTAAAGATTGGTGGGTTGAGGACTTATCTGAACTTGAAATCAATTTGTACAAAAGGGTCTTAATGGCTATCAAGACTAAAGGCAAATCACATCCACGAGTTATAGGAGAAGCTTTAAAGACTTACACATATAAAAAACTCCCTGGTTTCAGCAAAGGCATTATAAACAATGGAGATACTGTGAGATATTGTATTTATTTAGACACCATTATTTGGCTATTGCCTACCGAAAACGGTTCTATCTCCTGCAGTTTCTTGCTAAAGCTACTTAAAGCTAAAAGATTGGTAGATTCTGGAGAGAATTGTATTAAAGATTTGGTGAAGAGAATAGGAAGGCAGTTACATGAAGCTTCGGTTTCAGATCTTTTAATTCCGAGCTCAGAAGGGGATGACATGATATTTGATGTTGATACAGTTCTCGATATTGTTGAGGAGTTTTTGATGCAGGAGCAAGGAAGTGGTCGAATGAGCCCAGAGACCTCTGAAGAGCTTCAGGAGGTTAGAAGTCCAGTGTCTGTCTCGGCCAGTTCAAAAGTAATTGTAGGTAACTTGGTCGATAGATACCTTGTTGAGGCTTCAAAGGATCCGAAACTACCTCTTTCAAAGTTTATTAAACTTGCTGAGATGGTATCAAGTTCTTCAAGGCCTGTGCATGATGGACTCTATCGAGCTATTGACATGTATCTCAAGGTAAATTCTCATATTCCTCATGAAATGAAAATGTTTTTCATTAATCTGTTGGTTCATTGACATAGATGATAGGGCATACAATAAAATTCTTTCAGAAGTACAGTGCTATTATCAGTATTGTCGTATTTTGAAATACTAGGGGTCTGTTTGACTTCGAAATTTGCATTTTGGAATTCTGGCAAATTCAGAGTTCTTCAAAATCACAATTTCTTTCAAAAGCGTTCATGTGACTTGGCTGAACGGAAAGTTGAATGTGGGGCCCCTTCTCTCTTTCTCTACAAAATCTGCGATAGAATTCTTTCCTTTGATTCCTAAGAATTAGATGAAAACAAACAGACCTAAATATTAGGGAAGGGTTAATTGTGGATTGTTTTCCATTGACTGCGCCTCTAGTTTTTATGTTGCAGATAGCCTCCCTTAGTGAATTCTTTTTACTCGTTTACTCTTAGTGAAAAACAACTGTTTTTTTTGACAAATGGACCCTCCGATGGTAAAGAGTAATTAAAAAAAAAGGGAAAAATGCTTCTAGCCCCCAAAAGCCAAGTGAACGTGCTTCCCACCCCCAAGACTTGGTCAATGGGTGTTTTACCCCTAAAAATAAAGATTGTGTTCTCTGAGCCCCCAAAACACAAAACCCAAGACATTAAAACATGTGAAGATCATAATACCCTTCTCTCTCTCTTTCTTTTTTTCTTAAAATATGATGAGGATTATTTTATTATTATTTTTTCTCTCTCTCTCTCTTTATCATGATGTACCAAGAGGATCTTTAGATAGTTAACCCTAACAATTAAACCCGTAACCTTAACAACAAATCCGTAACCTACACAACAAATCCACAACCTTAACAACAAATCCTTAACCTTAACAACCAACCCGTAACCTTAACAATCAACCCGTAACCTTAACAACCTCCCAATACAAACAACCAAAATAATAAAAAACGAAAATAATAAAATAATCCTCATCAATCATTTCAACTATCCTCTTGGTACATCATGATAAAGAGAGAGAGAAAACAAAAATAATAAAATAATCCCCATCATATTTTAATAAAAAAAGAAAGAGAGAGAGAGAGAATTCATAACCTTAACAACAAACCCTTAACCTTAACAACCAACCCGTAACCTTAACAACCAACCCGTAACCTTAACAACCTCCCAATACAAACAACCAAAATAATAAAAAACAAAAATAAAATAATAATCCTCATCAATCATTTCAACTATCCTCTTTGTACATCATGATAAAGAGAAAGAAAACAAAAATAATAAAATAATCTCCATATTTTAATAAAAAAAAAAGAGAGAGAGAGAGGATTCATAATCTTAACAACAAACCCTTAAGCTTAACAACCAACCCGTAACCTTAACAACCTCCCAATACAAACAATCAAAATAATAAAAAATGAAAATAATAAAATAATCCTCATCAATCATTTCAACTATTTTCTTGGTACATCATGATAAAGAGAGAGAGAAAACAAAAATAATAAAATAATCCCTATCATATTTTAATAAAAAAAGAAAGAGAGAGAGAGAGAGGATTCATAACCTTAACAACAAACCCTTAACCTTAACAACCAACCCGTAACCTTAACAACCTCCCAATACAAACAACCAAAATAATAAAAAACGAAAATAATAAAATAATCCTCATCAATCATTTCAACTATCCTCTTGGTACATCATGATAAAGAGAGAGAAAACAAAAATAATAAAATAATCCTTATCATATTTTAATAAAAAAAGAGAGAGGATTCATAACCTTAACAACAAACCCTTAACCTTAACAACCAACCCGTAACCTTAACAATCAACCCGTAACTTTAACAACCTCCCAATACAAACAACCAAAATAATAAAAAACGAAAATAATAAAATAATCCTCATCAATCATCATGATAAAGAGAGAGAGAAAACAAAAATAATAAAATAATCGCCATCATATTTTAATAAAAAAAGAAAGAGAGAGAGAGGATTCATAACCTTAACAACAAACCCTTAACCTTAACAACCAACCCGTAACCTTAACAATCAACCCGTAACCTTAACAACCTTCCAATACAAACAACCAAAATAATAAAAAACGAAAATAATAAAATAATCCTCATCAATCATCATGATAAAGAGAGAGAGAAAACAAAAATAATAAAATAATCCCCATCATATTTTAATAAAAAAAGAGATCGAGAGAGAGAGGATTCATAACCTTAACAACAAACCCTTAACCTTAACAACCAACCCGTAACCTTAACAATCAACCCGTAACCTTAACAACCTCCCAATACAAACAACCAAAATAATAAAAAACAAAAATAATAAAATAATCCTCATCAATCATTTCAACTATCCTCTTGGTACATCATGATAAAGAGAGAGAGAAAACAAAAATAATAAAATAACCCCCCATCATATTTTAATAAAAAAAGAAAGAGAGAGAGAGAAGGGTATTATGGTCTTCACATGTTTTAATGTCTTGGGTTTTGTGTTTTGGGGGCTCAGAGAACAGATTCTTTATTTTTAGGGGTAAAACACCCATTGACCAAGTCCTGGGGGTGGGAAGCATGTTCACTTGGCTTTTGGGGGCTGGAAGCATTTTTCCCCAAAAAAAAACCATTCAGGGGGTCTAGCTGCAACAATAAAGCTAGAGGGATATTAAGTTCAAAACAGTGTTAGTGTACGAAGTCTATCTCCAATTAACTCATTAGAGAATGCAGCTGAACAGGGTACTTGCCTCTCCTTGCATACATTTCATAATTCGTTGGATTAAAAAGCATTTATTTCTTGATTTCTTCATCGATCAGGAGCACCAAGATCTAACCAAAACTGATAAGAAGAAGATATGCAGCCTGATCGACATCAAGAAGCTGACCCCCGACACCTGCATGCACGCTGTCCAGAACGACCTCCTTCCGCTCCGCCTCGTCATCCAAATCCTATTCTTAGAACAGATGAGGCAACAATCGTCATCATCTGCAGGCGATCCCGATCCCCCAGGCATTGCCCGCTCTCTGCTCCCTCGAGAGTACGGAGCCTCCTACAGGAGCTCAAAGTCAGCTGCCACAACCAACACTGACGACTACTGGGACGCTGGGGACCTCAGCTCGATGAAGTACATGAATTTGGTTGGAAGAGGAGGTACGAAAAAGGTTGAGAATGGAAAGGTGAAGTCTCTGATGCCCAAGAAGCTACTGAGCAAGTTGTGGTCAAATAAAGGGAAGAATGGCGAAAACAGCAGCTCTGATACGTCTGAGAGCCCAGGGGGTTCAATGAATCCAGAGGAGTTGAAGTCCACGCCTTCAAGAAACACAATGAATTCAGTTTTGTAGATTTGTAATAGAGGTGAAAAGATTTTGTAGGTATACATGTAAAGGGGATTCTGTTCTTTGCGCATGAATGAATGGCCTTTAAACTCTTTTTTGATAAGAAAGGCAACTGTATGTAGTTTGGGTTCTGTTAGAAAAGAGAAGGATATGAGAGAGGACGGAGAACTGTTTTTTTTGACTCAGACATTACTTATATTTATCTGCTCTTATAAAAATAGCAGAGAGATTTCACATCTCAGTATTCCCTCAGTTCCTATTTTCTAGTGACTGGTTAAGATGAATGCACCTATATTTGTCTGCAGACTTACGCATCTACTGAGGAAACAATATACAGCAAGCTGAACTCCCAGGTTGATCTCTTGCTATTTTCCTTACAGACATTTCTAGTTGCAGTTGATAATTGTCTGAGAATTTCTTGCAACTTGACACTTGCAACATTATTATAAAGGAAAATCACTCTGAGACTTTGTTCCGATACAAATCCGTCCTTGGATTGTTGGCACTAATTTGAATCAGACTGACTCAGATTCTTCGTTACAGGTAAATATCCACTGTATCTGCACTTCAACACATCTGGCATTCTCTTCTCAACCCTCGGTCCTGTTGGTACTCTCCCAGCTGATCTTGGACGAACATCCTTCATTTTCGAAATTGAGAGCAGATGTTATTCACTTATTCAGACAGAGAAGTAAAAAAGTTTGATAAATGCAATTAACCTGATCAAAAATGGCTGTAGGAATAGCGAGAGTAGCAACAGCGTTAGGAGAGTCCACGATGCCAGAAATCCTCCCCTCACACGGACAGCAAGAGAGCAAGAGATACACCTGATTGTTACGGGGAGCACAAGCAAACAAATATCAAGATAAAAACAAGGACTGATGACAACTGAAACATAGATTAAACAAGGCTCGAATCAAGTCCTACATCTACAGATAATAGCAGATGATCTTTTATTATTCAAAGGACAGGGAAAAGAGAGATAAATAAGGAGTTTACTATCATAAATAGGTAGATCTCAAAGCTCTCTCAAACTTGTTACTGAAGGGATCCTTGGACCCTGATAAATCTCAAATTTCTCACTAAGTTATTCCTAAACCCTCATCTCACCTTTATATATAGACAAGGGTGGAGAAAAGTCGTAATTCTGCTAGAATTTGGTTCCATCCTAAAGTTTCCCATAATTGGTCTTCAATCAATTCCAAATTGAAGAATTCAACGCCGTATGTCTCCAGACATCTGAAAGACTATAGAAGTAGTATCAAGTATCGGGTAGACGTCTTAAATACTGCTCTGAAGATGTCATAAAGACTTCTCAGCAGTCTGGATGAGATCCAGACGAAAGCCCAACAAGGATAAACTTTCACTACATTATTTGGTATATCAGAAAATACTAACTGGTAGATTGTGATGTCACCTGTTCTTTAGAGTAACCGAACTTTGAGAGGTAATCAATGGCATTGAGGGCTGCACGCTTGTATGCAATGGAGGCATCAAGGTAATGTTGTCGACCAAACTCATCGACACTGATACCCTCGAAGACCAGCCACTCTGAGAAGCGCGGCTCGACTGGACCAATCTCGAATATGGGATTGACATGGAGAGGAGTTGGACCCATCGGCGTCAGGTACTCTTTCATCCCTCCCCTTATGATCTCACACCTAAACATAATTAGATTTCATTTTTACTCATTCTGGTTGACATAGAATGTCGAAAAATGAAAGTAGATTGATTCATGTTTAAAATATAAATTATGATGAAGGACATAAGACATATACTTGACTAATCATATATATCTCTTGCTGGAATTTAACCTATTTTTATATTTGATTTGAACTGTGAATGTGTATATACCAAAGGTCGTTGATATTGCATAATGTACAATATTTATTTATCGAGCAAGTGAGTCACCTGTCATTATCTCTCATAGTGTGTTATACGCCAAAAACAATTCAGTATTTATCAATGTGTTATGATTCATTCAATTATGCTATCACGGATACCTTATAAATGGATATACAAGAACGAAAATTCCTAATTCTAATCAAACTCAAACTAGTTATAAAGAAAAGAATGCAATATATATGATAAAGTTTGTTTGCTTACTTGAGCTCTAGAAATCCACTCATCTCTATTGCTCCACAGAATGAAACTTCTCCATCACCCTGAGAGAAGTGCATGTCACCAGTACTAAGATTTGCTCCATCAACAAACACGGGAAGATAAATTTTTGAACCTCTACTGAGGTTTTTTATGTCACAGTTTCCCCCATTTTCTCTTCCAGGTATCGTCCTTGCTGCCTCATTTGCAATCTTATCCCATTCTGGGGTTCCCATTTTAATCTGCAGTTTTACATAAACGTTAGATCATTTCAGGATGAATAATTTGCGATCAAAATGTAGTTCATAACTTCATGGTAATTTTTCTTCTAAATTTCCACCAAGTATGCTCATTGCTAGGAAGCACGAGTGTGAATAATAAATACCCAGATCTTAATGGACATCTCACTTATAGATGTGAGTGAAATTGAGAAAAAGTTCTTTATATAGATTGTCTAAAGCTGATGCTGATTTCTTCATAAGTCTAAGAGTTAGAATTTGGCCATGATCAAACTTTTATTTGGTCTGTGCCTTGGCTTAATGACTGGATATCTGTGACATCGCTGCTTTGAACTTGCTACCCGTGTAGTGTCATTGCTGTAGACAGACTCCCTGGGTAAAAATTCTTTTTGGCTCTTTTGCCTCACTAATTTCACCCAGGATAAAAGAGTCAAATGTATTTACCGGGGGCTATGTACAGCAAGGAAACTATAAGCTTATTGGGTTCAAAACTGTTGACTTTGTGTTGAATAACTGATTCAAATTTGTTATTAGGTTGTTATTTTGTTAGTAGAGTTGTTGCTAATTAGTTTAGATTTTTATGGGATTGAGTTGTTTTGTAAGCCTATATAAAGGCACTTTTAGTTGATGAATAAGATAGAAAAATATTATCTCCTCATCTCCTCTCTAATTCCAACATGGTATCAGAGCTCCAAGTTTCTTGGGTTTGTGAGGATTTTAAAAAATATATATAGAGTGATGTCCTCTTCAAAAACGAGGAGAGGAGGGATAAAAACCCTAGCCCTAAAATCAATGGCGGAGGCGATGATGAAGAGCAAGGCAGCGGCTTTAACCGTCGCCGAGAGATGCAGAAGCATTTTGGGTGCAAATTCCCAAGCTCACCTCAACACCATCAAAGTCGACTCCAAAGGCAGCAAGAGTGAGATTCACACTTCGAAGGTGCACAATATTTTCAAGAGGGGAAAGCCTTACCTCTGGGTTCATGAAGGAGACTTGCATAATACCAACATAATCATTGATGAGCGAGGTTCTCTTTCTGTCAGCAATGTCGTTCCAGGTCCACTTACGGGTTTGCTCAAATCTATAAGAAAAGCTACCAGCTTGTGCTGCTTTAGCGGGTGACGTTATACCTCTTAAAAAATAAATTTTATTCTAGGAATCATGGTGAGATGTGCGCCATGGAGAGATTGAGAGAAGTGCTCCTTTAAGAAATGTTGGTGATTATGTGCGTCAACAAGATTGAGATGAGAAGTGCATTACAAAGTGAAGAGAAGTGCTCTACAAGATTATGGAGAGAAGTGCTCTATGAAGATTCAAGAGGAATGACAAGAAATTTTGAATCAAGGGGGAATGTTGAATAACTGATTTAAATTTGTTATTAGGTTGTTATTTTGTTAGTGGAGTTGTTGCTAATTAGTTTAGATTTTTATGGGATTGAGTTGTTTTGTAAGCCTATATAAAGGCACTTTTAGTTGATGAATAAGATAGAAAAATATTATCTCCTCATCTCCTCTCTAATTCCAACACTTTGTTGGCTTGAATCTAAAATTGGATGGGATCAATTTCCAATCAAATCCCTGATGGATCGAAGAATAACAGCAAAAAGATTGAAAAGAATATTGCTCTCAATTATTCAAAAGTCATCGGGTGTGTTTTCAACGAAAGTGAGAAAACTACAAACCTACTCTCATTTTTCAACAAAGAAACATCACCCGACTTTGTGTCACACTCCATATTTATGTCACTTTCTCACTTGTGATCCCCCCAATCAATCAATCATTCTTCACTGATTGATTTTTTAATCTCAGTGTGAAATAAAAGGAAGAGAGAGTGTAAGGCAGAGAAAGACACACAACGAATCAGTGAGCTCTCAAATTTTGTATGAGTGTTGTAATTTGAGAAAGAAATATAGTGAAACACCCTCTTGCCGTGGATGTAGATCAATTTGATCAAACCACGTAAATATTGTGTTCGTGATTGTCTCTCTATTTTCTGGTTTTGTGTTTAAATTATCCTAACAAACTGGTATCAGAGCCTCTCGGTTCTAGGACAGCTTTCAATCCTCCACAATGGCTTCTGTGAAGTTCTCGGTGTCGATCTTCGATGGCCAGAATAATTTCGGCCTATGGAGAATAAAGATGAAGGCTTTGTTGCGACGTGAAAGCACGGTTAAAGCTATCGATGGGAAATACCCAGAAGATATGACTAGTGCCGAGATCGAAGAGATGGACGAAAAGGCTCACAACGCCTTGCAATTGTCACTATCCGACAATGTGCTTCATGAAGTTGCCGATGAGGAAACGACAGCGGGGTTGTGGTCAAAGCTCGAAAGTCTCTACTTGAAGAAATCTCTTACTACAAGATTATACCTGAAGCAACGGCTATACACATTGAAGATGAAAGAAGGTACACTCATTCAGGAACACCTTGATGAATTTAATAAAATTACCATGGATATGAAAAACCTGGATCTAAAGCTTGATGATGAAGACCGGGCTCTCATTGTGTTGTGTTCCTTGCCTGACTCATATGAAAACTTTGTTAACTCTATGTTGTATGGAAGAGAATCCATAAGCCTTGAGGATGTGAAGGCCTCTTTGAATTCTGCCGAGTTAAGAACAAAGTTGAATGGGAGAGGTACCGATAGGCAGGCTGATGGTATGCTAGCCAGAGGTAGAATAAAGACCAGAGAGGGTGATAAAGAGCAATCCAGAAATCATTCAAAGTCCAGATCAGCCCAAAACAAGAAAAATGTGGAGTGTTTCTACTGTCACAAGAAAGGGCATTACAAGTCAGAATGCTATGCTCTAAAAAAGAAAGACAACCAGCGTGGTGAAACCTCAGATTCAGCTAATACGGCAAAGGCTGATACTGTCGTTGTTGCTGAGACGGTTCTTACAGTATGTCCCTTGGATGGCTGTTCCGATAGAGAATGGATCTTGGATACATGTGCGTCTTTTCATATGTGTCCAAATAAAGATTGGTTCACTACTTACAGATCTATAAGTGGTGGATCAGTATAAGTGGTGGATCAGTTTTGATGGGCAACAATGCAGTTTGCAAGACAATTAGCATTGGTACAGTTCGCATCCGGTGTCACAATGGGATAGTGAGAACTTTGTCAGATGTGAGACACATCCCGGACTTAAAGAAAAATCTGATTTCTTTGAGTTCTTTGGATTCTATTGGATGTTCTTACACTGGTGAAGGTGGAGCTCTTAGAGTTACTAAGGGTTCATTGGTTGTGATGAAAGGTAGTAAGGTGAACAGCCTTTATGTTCTCCAAGACAGTACGGTGACAGGCTCTACAGGTGTGTCTTCTGATGCTGATAGGGACACTACTCAGTTGTAGCACATGCGCTTAGGCCACATGAGTGAGAAAGGGATGACTATTTTGAGTAAATGTGGCTTACTCTGTGGTGACCATACATCATTACTGGTTTTCTGTGAGCATTGTGTGTTTGGGAAGCAAACTCGGGTCAGCTTCTCGACTGGCTCACATACGACGAAGGGCACTCTCGACTACATCCATTCAGATTTGTGGGGACCTACTCAGGTTCCATCCAAAGGTGGTGCTCTTTATTTTCTGATATTTATTGATGATTTTTTTAGGAAAGTTTGGGTTTACTTTCTCAGGCGCAAAAACGAGGTGTTCGAAACTTTCAAGAAATGGAAAGTACTTGTTGAAAATCAAACTGAAAAGAAGATTAAACGTCTCCGAGCAGATAATGGCCTAGAGTTCTGCAGTGGTGAGTTCAATCAGTTCTGCTCAAATTCTGGGATCGTACGACATCGCACGATCAGGCACACTTCTCAGCAGAACGGGGTGGCAGAACGCATGAATAGAACGTTGACGGAAAGAGCTAGGTGTATGCTCTCAAACTCTGGGCTGGATAAAGACTTCTGGGCTGAAGCTGTTAACACAGCTTGTTACTTGGTGAATCGGTCTCCTTCTACAGCCATTGAACACAAGACTCCAAATGAGGTATGGTCAGGTAAACCAAATGACTATTCAAATTTAAAGGTATTTGGATGTCCCGCTTACTATCATGTTAGAGAGGGTAAGCTTGAGCCTAGAGCTAAGAAATGCATATTTATTGGTTATGCTGATGGCGTTAAAGGCTATCGTTTGTGGAGTCTTGAACCTGATTCTCCTAAATTCATTATTAGTAGAGATGTTACTTTTAATGAAAGATATATGCTTGATCATGGGAAGGTTTCTGTTGAGTCTACAGGAAATGTAGAGAAGATCATGGATAAGGTGGAGCTTCAGGTGGAGCTCGAGCGAGAGACGTCTCAAAAGTCGTCTATAAAAATTGCTCCTACAGCTGTAGAAGAGCAACATGATTCAGGCTCAGATGCTGATGATGCTGAGATTGAAGAACCTTATTCCATAGCCACTGGCAGAGAGAGGAGACAGATCAAACCTCCTCAAAGATATGCACATACTGAATTAGTGGCTTATGCTCTCACGACAGCTGAAGAGATGTGTATTTAAGAGCCATCAAACATTACTGAAGCTGTCTCATGCGGAGAATCTGGACGTTGGGCCACGACTATGACAGAAGAACTCGAGTCACTCTACAAGAACCAGACTTGGGATTTGGTGCAATTAGCTAAGGGTAAAAGGGAAATTGGATGCAAGTGGATTTTCAAAAAGAAAGAAGGGATCCCAGGGGTTGAAGATGCTAGATTCAAAGCACGGTTGGTGGCTAAGGGTTATAGACAAAAGGAGGGAATTGACTATGATGAAGTGTTCTCTCCGGTTGTGAAGCATACATCCATCCGTGTATTGCTTGCCATGGTTGCTCTATTTGATCTAGAGCTTGAGCAGCTTGATGTGAAGACTACATTTTTACATGGCGAACTTGAAGAGACTATCTACATGTCTCAGCCAGAGGGATACTTCGTAGAAGGTAAAGAAGATTAAGTTTGCAGATTGAAGAAATCTTTGTACGGCCTGAAGCAATCTCCCAGACAGTGGTACAAGAGGTTTGATAATTTTATGCTTAGTCATGGGTACTCAAGAAGTACTTATGATAGTTGTGTGTACTACATGCATCTAGGAGATGATTCTTTTATTTATCTTCTATTATATGTCGATGACATGCTTATTGCTGCTAAGAACATGTCGCAGATTCTTATTCTGAAGAAACAACTCAGTGATGAGTTTGAGATGAAAGATCTTGGTGCAGCAAAGAAGATCTTAGGTATGGAGATCGGGAGGGACAGGAAAGCTGGAACATTATATCTCTCACATAAGAGTTATATAGAAAAGGTGCTTGAACTCTTTGGGATGAAGAGGGCCAAGCCTGTTATGATTCCTTTGGCTCCTCACTTTAGGCTCTCGGCTTCAGATTCACCTACAAGTGAGAATGAGAAGAAGGAGATGTCCCGAGTTCCATACTCTAATGCAGTGGGTAGCATTATGTATGCCATGATTTGCACTCGTCCAGACATTGCCCATGCAGTCAATGTGGTGAGCAGATAAATGGCTCAACCAGGAAAGGCACACTGGGAAGCAGTAAAGTGGATCCTTCGGTATCTCAGGGGTACCTCAGATTTGGGTTTAGTTTTTGATAGCAGTACTTTGGGAACCTCAGTTGTAGGTTTTGTGGATTCTGACTATGCAGGTGATCTCGATAAAAGAGGATCTTTGACTGGTTATCTTTTTACTCTTTCTGACTCAGCTATTAGTTGGAGATCGACTCTACAGTCGACAGTTGTTTTGTCTACTACAGAGGCATAATACATGGCATCAGCAGAAGCGGTAAAAGAGGCCATTTGGTTGAGAAATCTCGTAAGAGAGCTTGGACTACAGCAGGAGGCTAGTTCAGTTGTATTTTGCGACAATCAGAGCGCAATACATCTAAGTAAAAACTCAGCACATCATGAAAGAACAAAACATATTGATGTCAGATATCATTTCATTCGTGAGGCAACTGCTGAAAGAAATATCACGATGAAGAAGATTGGTACTGCAGACAACCTAGCTGACATGTTGACCAAACTGATTCCGACCTTCAAGTTCAAGCACTGCTTGAATTTGGGAGGCATTCGCACTTGTTAGGTGACCCCTTTTGAGGTATTGTTTGCAAGATGGGTGAAGACTCACTAGTTATTGATGTTTGGGAATTCAATCTAAGGTGGAGATTGTTGACTTTGTTGGCTTGAATCTAAAATTGAATGGGACCAATTTCCAATCAAATCCCTGATGGATCGAAGAATGACAGCAAAAAGATTGAAAAGAATATTGCTCTCAATTATTCAAAAGTCATCGGGTGTGTTTTCAACGAAAGTGAGAAAACTACAAACCTACTCTCATTTTTCAACAAAGAAACATCACCCGACTTTGTGTCACACTCCATCTTTATGTCACTTTCTCACTTGTGGTCCCCCCCCCCAATCAATCAATCATTGTTCACTGATTGATTTTTTAATCTCCGTGTGAATTAAAAGGAAGAGAGAGTGTAAGGCAGAGAAAGACACACAACGAATCAGTGATCTCTCAAATTTTGTATGAGTGTTGTAATTTGAGAAAGAAATATAGTGAAACACCCTCTTGCCGTGGACGTAGATCAATTTGATCGAACCACGTAAATATTGTGTTTGTGATTGTCTCTCTATTTTCTGGTTCTGTGTTTAAATTATCCCAACAAAAACAGCAATACTACTGGGGATCTATGTGCAATTAACCCTTACTTTTAATTATCAAAACTGTGTACAAAAACATTTTTTGTGAAGTTAACTTTGTACTTTCTGTTATGTTCTAAAATATATACATCGAACTTCTCAAAACCTTCCTGGTTCTCCTATGCACACTCTCTAATCTTCTTTACCCAGGAAATTATTCAAGCTATACTCTCAACCTGAAATCTACACGTAATCTTCCGGATTATATGCTGCATATAGAACCGGAATTTTATAGAATTGACGTCTACAGAATATTGTAAGCAAGTTCTAATCCTTGTTTAATTTTATGATTTAATATAGCTAAGAAAACACAGTTAACCATCATAAATCCCATTCATTTCTAATTTCTACTAATTAACTTCAAACAACATTCCCCATTATCTCCTTACCGTTCCCAAAAGGCAATTTCTGGCTGTCGGCAAGTTTGCCAGCGGTCTCTGATGCAAGACATCACATAACTTTAGAGAGCTAGGACCATCTTCTACTAATTTCTTCTCTCTTTCGTTCCAAATGTGCAAAAGTTCAAGTGATGGTGCAGTTCCAATTATTCCCGGATGAGTCAATCCTGGAAATCGTACTCCTGTAAATCTTAGAAATCTTAGTGATGAATCTCTCATCAAATTGATAAGATGAGCTGCGATAGATCCCTGTACTATTGCGCGGAAGTTATTTTTTTAAAACCCTTTTACTTTCAGAGAAACAGAAAATTGTCTTTTGACAAAAAGATCTCCTGAGGTAAAAATAAATTAATTAAAAAAAAACGCGCCCATCGAACCATCTTTAACAATAGGACTACAGGGGTCTATCCACAATTAACACAAATGATAAACCATGAGAACAGTCTGCACCTGGTATATGAGGAGAGTATGCGTATATCCCTTCAAAGTACCAAATTGCTTTTGTTGCACAAGGGAAATGATCTGTTAAAAACCCACCTCCATTCTCCCTATCGAAACTTCCTGTGTAACCCCATTCATCTCCAGGTAGAGGACCTAAATTGCAGATTTCTACCGCAAGAAGATCTCCAGGCTTTGCAGGCATCCCGTCTTTGTCGACAACCCTCAAAGGTCCACTTAGATAATGTGTCTGCAAATGTTTCGGAGAAATTAGATTGAATCGTAATTAGACAATTGTGATTCATATATACATACAATTGTAGGGTCTATAGATTTGATGTCTTCTGCAGAGCTATTATCTCCAATGCTCCCTCCAGTCCAGTCCACCATCTCGACACGAAAGAGCTCGCATTCGGTGACATCGGCCACTGGAGGTATTTGAGGATGCCATCGGTTGTGAAGAGGGAGTTTTTGCTCCCATGGCTTTTTCTTCACGTCTACGGGCACTACTAGTCTTGGTGTAGGAGGAGCCATTAACTATTGCAAATGGATGTCTGATCAAGTTTATGCAGTTGTATCGTGTATACATTTGACATAACCCCTCTAAAGTTTGGCCTATTCTGAGATAACCTCCCTACACTTTATAAATGTCACTTAATCACCAAACTTTTTTGGGGCTTGTCACAGAACCCAGAAATTTTTTTCAATTTTTCAACATACCCGCTAACTGCTTAACCCCCAACTGTTTCATCATATCCCCTAACTTTCAACTTCATTTTCAGAGAACAACCATGAAGTTTTGATACAGTTTCAGAAAACCCCCATTATGCCATTAAGCGGTTATGTTGATAAAATTGCGAGCATTTTGGGGGGTTTTGCGACAAGTGACTTTATAACTGGCAAGGGGGGTTTATCTCAAAGTTGGCCCAACTTTAGGGGGTTATGTGAATTTTAAATATTGTTATGTCATGATCATATACTATGACGACAACAACAAAGTATTTATCTCGAATTTTAGGACCAGCTACATGAATCCTGTTCATCCATTTACTTTTGTTGAGGGCTCCCCCCTACTGGTTATCATGTTCATATACTGATGCTGATGAACAGTATCTATCGCTCCTGTCAGTTTCCAGCAAGCTTTGGAGTTTTGTGCATTTTCTATAGGTGATGTACGATTCAAGATTGGGACCAGGGTGGGAATCTTCTGTCTTCCACGAAAACTTGTGTGACTGGCTACTCTCATTCCCTAACTTCCATAGGTGAT